CTTATTTATTTAATGGTGACTAGCAGCGCAATCTACGACGTATGTGTCTTGCTGCTGGACCCTCATCAATTGTGGAGGTGAGAACATCATCACTCACCAGGATTGAAGGTAAATAGAGTTGAATACTCTCGATCAGAGCAGCAAAGCGCATCCTGAATTCCACTGCTAATCATCACCAAACAAATGAACTAAAGTTAAGTTGAAGAAAGTAAGAATAGAAGTTAGATGCAGAATAAAAGTATGACAAAATAAACATTAAGTTAGTCTTAGATAAATGAACTTTTCATTAATAAAGTAGTGGAACTTGAAAATAAATAAATAAATCGAATAAGTAGGTATGTAAACACCTAAAAGCTACGAACATGTGCCGTAATTGTTATCAATACTCAATATTTTGGTGTTCTCCGAACTTCAACACTTAATCTATTTCGTTGCTGGTCAATGTGACTTAAAGCCACGCAGAACATCTGTCTAGCTTGTTTTAAGCAGATTCATTCATTTCAGTCTTTAGCGTTTTTAAAATTAGTTAAACCGTTTCTTATACAATCAACTTGAACTACTGTGTGTTAATGTCTGTGTAATGATAAAAGCAGTTGATATATTGAATTCCATTTCATTTTGATTGCTGTCACCAAATCTGTCATATCCTGATGTTCTGATTGTCTGTTATAGTTACTTTTTCCTAGTGATGAAAAGTTATTTCACTGTGGGATAACAAAGATAGAAAATAGCCAAACAGTTGTAAGGTTACCGTCTTTATCGCTTAAAAATATGGTTACCAACCTAACGTGGAGGAAGTACTCCTCACAAAAGTGAATGGGCAAATTTGAACTTCTCGTGTTTACAACTGGACTGATGGACTTTCTGACCTACCTACAAGCGTGTCTGCGAAAGCCTGATTCCAAGCCTGGAATCTGTAATGGTCGAATGGCGTATGAACTTTTTTCAGTTAACGGAAGGTAGCTCCTGACGCTTCTCCACTACATAGATCTTTGGATCTGACTTCAAGTTAAAGGTTCAGGGGTGGGCGTCTGTTGCCCTCCCAAGACAACCCGCTGCTTTATGTTTGAGCGTCTGGGTAGTACAGTATTCCAGCCATCGCACAAACTATAAGATTTTGTGTAGCGCGTCTCTTGGTGTCCATCGTTCACCAATTTTTAATAATAATAATAATAATTCATGATTTTTTTTTCATTTTTTCTAATATTTTTTCCAAAAAACAAGAAAAACTCTTATCAAGCTGAAGTGCTTGTCCTCTTTAAAAAAAATCAAATATTTGTCGGCGGCATTTTAGAGCTGTATTCCACTTTTATTGACAAGTTTATCGCTTATGTATCATTTCCACTATTGGTGCCGCTTCCTGCAAAACAATCTTCTTGGCTTCACTGTCATCATCATCATCTTGCTATCTCTATTAATTGGATCTGTTGAGTATAAAAAAGAAAGAAAGGAAAAATAGGAGGACTTTTCTCTCAATAGTGTAGATGGTATTTCATACTAGCGGCTCGAAAGCTTCTAACTTCCTCTTGACTCCTCTTAGCCTGTATCTGTGTATCTATTTACCTGGATGTGAATTATGTTTTGATACTGTTTACTTCGCACTTCACTTTCCTCGTGTTATTATTGTTTTTATTATACTGTACGTAAACTACCGTGAATATTTTTTTCTTTTCCTTTCTGTTTTGTAAGCCATGTCGCATTTGTCTTACCTTGAAATATATCCCTCATTAACTTGCATACTTCAGACTGGAATTAGGCGCTGACATTTAAACCAACCAACCAACCAACTCACTCAGAGACAAACTTTGTTTTTGCTTAAGGACCTGATGGATCCAATTAAATGAAGGAATACAATTTACCACTAAATACTACGTCATACTACTATTTCGGTGTCCATCAGATTATCAGAACGTAGGAATTTAGCTAGAGGTAGAATGATTTGATACCGCTAAGTTAAATAATGCAGGAAAAAGCTCGGCTATTGCAACTTATTCACTTGCATATATAGTCATACAGTAGGGTAGCATAAGTTGGAAAGTATTAAAAAGTAACATAGTTAGGTAGAGAAAGAGGGAGGTTAGTCACTGCATCTTTATTCATCGAATCAACACCAAACAAGTGCAAGCGAAATGAATAATAGGGAGTAGACGTCTATAAAGGAAAATATGAAGTTGTACGGATACACTGGTTATTATCATGTGTTGGTCTGCAGGGATTTGATTGGTAACAGGACTGATCATGAGCTGACATCAGTCATCAGTCCTGTAACCAATCAGATCTCTGCAAACTAACGCTTGATAATTAATCTGATGCCCACTAGCGACTGGCCTTGTGCAGGAAGTTACCTGGGGTTCTAGTGAGAAGTCGTAACCAGTAGGGACCATCGAGTCATGCAAGAGGACAGTGACACTGGTCGGCGGTCGCGCTATATATATATATCACGAGCTGGCAGATTCATGAACCACTGGGACCCGACCCAGTGGCTAAATAGCCTACGAGCTCGCTTCTTAACCATAGGGGCTTGAAATCAAATGTCAAGGAGTGCGTACTGATGAAGAATTCTGAACTAGGTTGAAATAGCTGTCCAGTACTCCTAGGTCTTTCATTGGTCCTCTCATTGATGACAACTCGGGATGGCTTCTGAAACATTTTTATTATTATGAACAATGAATTGTTCCAGGAAATTCATCCTGTTAACAATATTGTTACTCTGTGTGTTTTGTAAGATAGACTTAACTAATATGGAATTATAATCTAATTGGTGGATGGTGACTAGCAGTGGAATCAAGGATGCTCATTTCGTCCTATTTGGGACTCGTGGTCAGCTGAATGTACCTGCATTCCTCAGTGAGTGATGGTGTTCCCACCGAGGCTCGAACCGAGTGTTCATAGTTTCAAACGCCAAAGAGTTATCCACTAAATCACATGGGCCATGAGAGCCACCTCTTGAGCCGACATGTCAACCTGAGACCAAGCACTTCGGTCCAATCAATCGACGATTAAATCTAAAATTCAATTTTAAAAAAATAATATTCCGCCACAGTGCCCATATTCTACTCTTACATTACTCAAGTGACGTATGAATTTCGTTGACACCCTACTCCTGGTTACTGATAGACAAAATGTTCTACTTGTGAAATAGCACTATAGATGATGTTTAGTAGTCCGTTATGCCTTCAATAGCCACAAAATTTCCATCAAATAAATATTACGTAAAAGCAGGGAATGGTTTTCTGTGTTTTATATCGATTGATATACATTAGATTAGTGTTACACACAAATAATAATAATAATAAATTAATCATCTGTTTGATGTGATACTCTTATGTATTATTATTGTTCCCTTGGGTTCCTAGTAGAACATAGGGCTTCAACTGCACGTCTCCACTTGCCACTTCTGTCTTCCTTCTGCTGTACTTTTCACCTGCATCCATGTTAGTCCATACTCTTTGAACTCCTCTTCACACGATCTCCTCCATGTCACCCTTGCACTGACCTCACACTCACCGCTTCCCTTTCGGCCTGGTTCCAATCGAGCAATGGCCTGACGCGCGCGCGATATCACCCAGCGGCCTCCTCAGCGAGCGAGTGTCCAATCCATCTCAACTTTCTCCTTTCTCTTATGTATTAACTCATGGAAAAATCTCATTGTCACATATAGAAAATCAAAACAAGTGATTCAGCGAAGAGACTACGCTTTTCAAGTAATTTATTATCAAGCTATACAATCGTATATATATATATATATATATATATATATATATATATATGGTTTTTAAGAAGTTATATCCGGTGGGGGAATAGAATCATAGATGCGAATGCATAAGGTAATAATAATAATAATAGTATGCAATGCAATTAAAACTAAAATGTTTGTGATTATAATCATAGTTAAATGTCAAGTGGCAAAACAAATTAATATCATATATAGAATAATTCATATGATGGATAGAACTTGAAAAAAGGTTGTTTGGGTGGGCATCTGGCTTAGTCACTGATTTATACTTTTGTATTCCTCCAACACAAGTATGGTTTATTATTATTTTCGAGAGTAAGGTGTGAAAGAAGCCCATATACTGAGTCATATACTACCGGCTTTTGAGTAGAACCCCTTCGCGTTTGAGAAATTGGTGATGTGATTGTGTTTCTCACTTTCTCAGTTCTGTTCTCTGTTTCACATATGTTGATCTTTTTCCCCAATTCATAGCGTTCTAAGTGGAACGTAAGCCTTCGAGCATGAGCTTTGAGGTTCCAGTATCCGTTGTATTTCTTTTTTTAACATTCCCTCTTTTCCGGGAATCCTACCGGTTAAGTGAGGTTTAGGTGGGAGTCGGCTGAGGATAGAACATCAACCATCTGCGTCTTTAGCAAGCACCACCGATGCAATTATTTACTCATCTATTTTATGTAGTTGAAAGTTTAGGTAGCCCAATGTTCAAACTAGCCACCTGTTAAATGTTCTATTTAACTTACTACATTAAGGAGTTCAGACAATCAGGAATCACTCAACATCTTTTCTCAAAATTTATTAACTTTTACATCTCACCTATTGTACTTTACCGTTTCCCTTAAGTTATTTCCTGCGCTACTGAAAAAGGACTATGTCATACTGCGCAAGGTTTGTCAGCTGGGCAAGTAGTATTCCACTTAGTCAGTTCGTTACTATGGCAGTCGATAGATACCTAAACTCATGTGAGAATTGATCTAAATCCATATTGTCTGACTCTCAACACCCTATATATTCTCAACTCTCCCCTTTCATCTCAACAAATAGGACTAGAAGTCACCAAAAAAAAGATCATATGCTCTCACAATCAAGTACAAATGCTCGATTACACCCTATTCGGCCTGTGTTCTATTTGATGGCTGATAGAGTTAAGCCTGGAATCCACAATTTACTGTGTCGCCAGAAAAATAACAGGCTCTTTTATCCTCTACTATTTGTAATCTGTACAATTAATTAAGACACTGATTCCTTCTAACTTACTTCTTCTTTGTAGTCATAAAAATCCAGCTGTTCGACTTCAAACAGCCCTACTTGTTTCTCGAATAGTCGAGAATTGAGTAGTAGTGGACGTATGAATTTATCTAATCGTGGTAGTAATCCACGTGGATCTGGAGGTGCTGTTGGTGTTGGCAGTAATGGTGCTAATGGCAGCAACACTAGCAGTACTGCTGCTTTGGGTCGTTTATCATCATGGAGTTCAACGGGAAATTTGAATGCTTCCGCCTCTGCGTCTGCTTCATCCTCTGCTTTATCTGCATCAAATTCCGTATTTCTGGGTGGGTTTATGGAACGTCTTATTGCAGCACTTAGTCAATTTCTAACAGATGGAAATCAAGAAACACGGTAAGTTATTTATATTCATAATGGGCTTATAAATTTCTTCCCCTTTGCTTTAATCTTTTTTTATTATTCCTCTGGGTTCCAAGTGGAACATAGAACTTCAAAAACACATTCCCACTTTCTTCTACTTTCTGCTGTTCTCTTCAACTAAGGCCACGATTGACCATAATCTCACCTCTCATCTCCTCCTCGCCACACGATCTCCATGTCACCCTACCGCTGACGACCCACTCTCCGCTTCACATTCGGATTCCACTCGAACTATGGCCTGCTTTGCACTCCATGTCACTTGACTGCCTACTGAACGTATGCCCAATCTATAACCAATTCTCCCACATATTTCTTGAGCAATCGGATCTTAGTTGGTTCGCTCCCAACCAGAGCTTCCTCCTACTAATTCTTTCTGGCTGACCGGCCGGCCATTTGATCTTCAGTATGGAATCCGCCAGCGAAGGTGGCGGCTGTTGACAAAAAAGTCTGCATTAGCCTGTTGGAAATCCTTTCAGTTACATGTTAGTCAAGTTTATGACCCGTATAGAAGAACTGACTGACCGACTGACTTCACACTGGTGTTGAAAACCCGAATCTTCTTCTTTATGCTGCCTGAATGAGTTCAATTCAGAAGACTTGCAAACTGGTTTCAGGTTGATGAAGACGTATCTTGCCTTCCGAATTCTGGCTGACTAAATTGACATCCTCATCCGTTCCTGCTGACTGTGGTTGAAATCGTGCTTCCCGGTCAGATAAGTGAACGGAGGAAGTAACATCTGTCAGATCTCTCTCTCGTTGATTGTGATTGGTACTGGTAGTTGTTGTTGGTTGGCTATCTTCATCACCTCCGTCTTATTTATGTTCACCTGGAGTCCTGCCTTCACTGGCTGTTTCTTCAGTCAGTTTGTTGGTTTTTGCCTTTAAGTCTGATTTCGTATGACATTAGACATATATCATCTGTGAAATCCAGATCTTCTAGAGTTTTAGTATCGGTCAAATGTATTCCTGTCTTCTCGCTCGTCACAGTCTTACACATAATCCCACCCACCTCAATCAGGAATATCATCGTGGGTGGCTGTAGGCAGCTTTTTTGTACTCATGGATTCACTTCGAACGCCTCGCTGAGTTTTCCGCTGTGGATCACCTGACACGTGGCATTGTCATACAACCAGCTGTTGAATGAGGTTGATAAAGACAAAGTGGAATAGGTTATGTGTGCGTGTGTCGGCATGTAGGTGAATGCATAATTGAATTACCAAACATAAATGATGAAGTTGAAAAGCTTGTTCATTTCATATGTTACGATATAATTTTGAATGAATCACATCAATTTTATATTTTTTTAATATTGAATAACAGGTTGAGGAACGTATACATATATATACATACATAAAGAACATATATGATGTAATACAGTGTTTAGGAATATATAGTGTCTGGACTTGCTTATGTATACAAATTCTCGTATGTTCCCTCGTAGTGATAGTAAGACTGTCTGAGACTGTCTTAGGTGAAAGTCAGATGGAAATTGGAGCCTCATCAGTTCCGAAACCGGCAGCCTCTGAATTGCTAGTCTGGCGCTTTTATTTACTGTCTAACGTATTGAAGTTTAAGTATGCTGAGCGTATTAGATAGTCGGGAAACTGGTTATAAAATACCATATCTAATACAATAAAATCTTGTACTGTCTGTTGAATGTTGATTAACAGGATGATTCAAGAACAGTCTTTAGAAAACAAAATACTCGTAGACATTAGTAAAAAGTTTGAGCATTGTGGATTAGATCAAATAAAGTAGAACTATATTTCAATAGTTTACACACAACGATAAGTTTTGTTATTGGTAATTTTTCTCGAAATATTACCAATAACAAAACTTATCATTGTGTGTAAGCTGTTGAAATATAATTCTACTTTATTTGACTCGTAGACAGATTACTACATAATATAATAAAGAGTTGACCTCCACTAGTAGTAATAATAATAAGAATAATATCAGCCTTATTATGATAATTATACTTAAACAATGCAGAATTCTTGCATATTATTTACTCCCTATGTGAAATCTTCAAGTTAATATTCACCAACAACATAGCATATGAAGCAGCGTCACTCTATCTGAAACAAAACTCACCCATATACGATATTTCTCATTCATTTACTTACTCAAGTGCACAGATGTAGGTCTGAAGCCAATTGAAAATTTACTTGAGTTTAATGTTGTGATTGGTAATAAAGTAGATGCACTATGTTGCGCGAATTATTTTAGGTATCCCAATGGTTTAAGTGGTCTACACTGCTACCCTTTTTGCGTGTGTAGAAGCAAGACTCAAATGTTGAAATCGATTACTTGTAATAATATGACCTATAACGGCAAAATTAATATAGCAAATTATTAATTGCTAACGTCTCTATCCAATCCAACCATTCATTTGTTTGTGTGTGTACACTAAATTTGTCAAACGAAAATACAACTAGTAAGTTCAGATTAACGCATCGGTGGCACAGCGGTTAGGATGCTCGCTGACCATGCACATGGTCCGGGGTCTATCCCGGCCGACGCACTTCTTTACCTCGCTAAGCCAGAAATAATGTTGGTAAAGAAGAAAGGTTGGGCCGGGAAGCACGGTTTCAACCACAGTCAGCTTGAACGAATGAGGATGTCAATGCAGTCAGCCAGAATTGGAAAGGCGAGATACGTCTTCATCAACCTGAAAATAGTTTAGAAATTATCTGAACTGCACTAAGTCAGCCAGCATAATGAAGAAGATTCGGGTTTTCAACACCAATGTGAAGTCAGTTGGTCAGTCAGTTCTTCTATGGGTCATAAACTTGACTAACATGTAACTGAAAGGATTTCCAACAGGCTAATGCAGACTTTTTGTCAACAGCCGCCACCTTCGCTGGCGGATTCCATACTGAAGATCAAATAGCCGGCCAGTCAGCCAGAAAGAATTAGGAAGAAGAAATTCTGGCTGGGGACAAAGCAACAGGCAAGAGCCGATTGCTCAAGAAATATGTGGGAGACATTGGTGATAGATTGGGCATACGTTGAGTCGGCAGTCGAATGACATGGCGTACAACGCAGGCCATAGCTCGAGTGGAATCCGAATGTGAAGCGACAAGTGGGTCGTCGGTGCTGGGGTGACATGTAGGAGATTGTATGGCGAGGAGGAGATGAGAGGTGAGATTATGGTCAATCGTGGACTCACATGAAGAGAACAGCAGAAAGAAGAAGAAAGTGGAGATTCGTTTTTGAAGTCGTATGTTCCACTTGGAACCCAAGTGGAAAATAATAAAAAATTATATGTCTTTTGGGTTCCGTGTGGAACATAGGAATTTTGCGGAACATCCCTACTTCATCCTTTTTCCAGGTGGCTGCGTTCACTTTTTCGTCATACAATCTCCTCCATATCACCCTTGAATGCACACCCAACTTGTGGTCTTCCACTCGGGTTTCACTCGAGGCCTGAACTGGCGCGTGATGTCACTCAGCAGTCTACTCAGGGTGTGTCCAATCCACATCCATTTCCATCGATTTATGGTCATACTAAAATAATGCTTTAGACTGAGTCGTAGCTATCAAATACCTAATATTCACATAAATGAAAATAAGCTTTTTTATGCACTGGTTGTGATTTGATGCTTTTGTTTTAAACGAATGTTGTTGCCTGGTTATTCTTTTTTTCTAAGTGTAACCATAGCAACGCGTGCTTTTTTGAAAAATCGTGTTAGCAAATCAATGATCTTTCTTAGATGAATGTGCGTTTGTTTTGATTTCGTCTAAGAAATTCAGAATTCTTGTTTAAAAAAACAACGGTTGAGATAACAAGATAATAATGCCATTTATACAGTTATCTGTTATATTTCTTATTTAGCTCATTGTATATAATAAAACTGATAAATTTTGTGATTTCACCGTCCAATAAGACATCTAGTCGATATCAAAGCCAACTCTAGATTCTTTTGTGAGAGATTACAAGTAGGGAATGGATCTCCGCCATTGACAATAATTTTTAAGCCATGTCACCAACAATCTGAAAGTGATGAGGACCCTAACCCCAAACAATCTAAAACTCCCTAAATGCCTCCAACCAACAGTCATAGATTTTATGGATTGATGTCATGTTTTAATTTGACCACCCCTTACTCTCTTCCAGCTCACTCTTATCTCAGCTGACATTGCTTGACGTAGAGGGTCATGACTCAGTGTACATATAGGACCTGCCTTAGCTATTCGAATCGATGCAAATTCAGTATCTCATCTGTGGATTTCCCCATTTTACCTAACACTCTACGTGTAACCTCAGCATTACTTACCATATTATACTATTTAACATTGGAGACAGAATTCAAGCACCTAATTTTAAAGATGTCTAACCTATTCAAGCCTTCCACTTTCAACGACCACATGTCGCAACCATAAAGAAGGACAGAATGAACGGTTGCGCGATAGGCACGTTCTTTGATCGATAACCGTATATCATGACTACTCGAGAGAGAGAGAGAGAGATGACACAAGTTAGCGAGTTCTACGCGAAACTTTTACCTGTAGTATTTTTGTAGACGTATATTTTCCTAATTCTACAATTATTTCAATATTTTTGCAATCATCTTAGTAGCTTTTTATATATATGTAAGATATTTTAATAAAGTGTAGGAACAGATATTCACACTTCGTGTTGTTGCTATTTGAATACTCGTCAAGCTTTGCTTTTAGCTTGGGATCGACTTGATATGCTAACTCTCTATCTCACTGTTCACTCTTTAATTGTTTCTTATTTCACATACTTGTTAAAACGTTGTTTGAGATTTCCTTACTAGGAATTAGTGCAAGAGTTGTTTCTTGATTCACTAAAATTTATTATTTTTTCTGAATTTAACATGAGTTCCACTGTGTGCTTCATCTAAGGATGCATGTTGTTCGCTGAATTGGCTTTGATGTTCCAATGAACTCCTTTTTCTTGGTTTCATTAAATCTATTTTGCTATACGCTGAGAAGACCATTGAGTGACATCACATACCAGGAGGTCGAATGGAAAGCGACGAATTGGACACAGTTCGGAAGTTGTGATATGGAGGAAATCGTGTGAGGAAGAAATGAAAGCTTATGCGTATTCGTGGAGCTAGCTAACTAGTAAAGATTTCAAAAAATAGGTTGAAATGGAGATGTGCTGTTGAAGATGTTTGGAACCATATTGAACACAGAGGATAACAACACATCCCTGCTTTTTTGACTTACTTTGCAACCAATGAATTACAACCTGGGACTCCACCCCACTTACTAAAGTGAAAGTAAGCAATGTGTTGGTGGCGCAATGGTAGGACGTTCGCCGACCACACATGTGTTCCGGAGTTCGGTCCCCCGCCGACGCATTCCTTTACCTCGCTAAACTAGTAATAAGACTAGTAGAGAGGGAAGGTTGGGCGTGAGACTAGTGATCCCATCCCGCAAAAATAAACATCACTGCTACCGTAACTTCAAGCATCTAGCTTGAAGCCTTATGTTCCACTGGGAACGTAAAGGAATAAAAAAAGATCAAGTAGAATATTGCATGTGGTCGTCTACTCCTTTAAATACAGTGCTTCCAAGGATTTGTTTACTTCAGTGAATATCTACGACTAACGTATTTCACAATCGAATTTTTAAACGGCTTCCACTTGCGAAACTTTGAATATTTATTTATTAACTTATGATATTCGTCAATAGTATTAAAAACTTACACCGTGTGGTTTTTCTTAGTCGACACTGATTTCATTCACTTAAAATCAAATTGATCACAAAATGGTGATAGATAAATTAGTACTACTTTCCAAGGTTCTATTTTATCCTTTAATGAAATAATAAATACCCTTGCAATATTAACTCAGTGTGATCTACTTCAAATCTAAAGTTAATGAGACGGCTACTTCATGCACCGTTTGTGATGATTTGTAGAGACTTGTGAATTTAAGTCTATGAGTTGTGGATTCGAACTCGCTCAAAATTCTGTAACCTAGTTAGTTAACTGGGTAGTAAAATACCAGCCCTCATACAATAAGTCTGACTTATAGCCTATTAACTTAGTTCTAACTAAACCAACACCTTCAAATTAGGTTTTGAACTTAAATACCTCACTGCAACACTGGGTGATGAATATTCGAATCCTGGAAGGGATATATGTGTTCCTTCAAGGCTGTCAACAAACACGAAAGCTAGATACTTGACCTCCTGTTGAACGCCTTTCACTATCTAAAAACTAGGTTGTCTCTTAAACAAAGTGTACAAGATATACTGACTCATGTAGTTTGTTAAACTTGTGTACACCCAGTTACCTAGATGAGGTTTTCCATGTCTACTTGTCTATGAGCCACACATAGTAGTATATGTAATAGCCCAGTTGCCCATACTGAAGTAGTTGTAACAAGGTTAGAACCCTGAACTAAGTCTGTAGGCCACTGAGCTAATTGTTAAATACTCTTTATGGAATAGGAAATGTTTTTCACTGATGAAGAGAATATTTGGTGCATATTACCAACTAAACTGCATTCTTCCTGTTTACATATAGAAGTGTAAGTGTTCTTGATATTTTTTGAAGGGTTGAAATAAAATATATTAAAAAAAAGAGAAGACGTTCAGCAAAGAGACTCTTTTCGACGGTGAATTCATTCACATAGTTGTACAATCCCATTTATACATAATTATTTGTGTCTGTGTGTGTGTACATGAGGTTTGTCAAGTTTAGATAATTGATCAGGTAATAAAAGAATGATCTAATACAGAAACAAGGCTAATTAGACAGCAACTAAAGTAAGATTGAGTTAGTTAGTAAGTTAGATGACGTAATATAGTTGACTAAAATGTTTCAACTTAGGTCAGGTAATCACAGGTAGAGACTAAATAGAGGTGGGGTAGAGAGATAATGCCATTTAAATTAGAACTGAAATTGAGCAAATAAGTAACATAACTGACGTAACATAAATGACTAGAAATTGAGCGTTGGTCAAGTCAGTAACAGTGGTAGTGAGGTGTAGAAATTAAATCGGGTGGGGGTAGAGAACAAGAGAGTTGAAAATGTAAAATATTACAATTGAAAAGACAAATTAATACTAATTAAGAGACAGAAGAGAAAAATTTAGGTAGATTTTACCTGTCGGGTAATAAGATAGATTGCGTCCATTGCAAGTGTAGTGATTGAACGAACTTCTTCTGTATGCAGAGTACGCTGGGTACAGCCGACATACCTGGCTCCACACGAGCAGGTGGAGCTTATTAATTTCAATCTCCTCTTAGTTTCAAGTTGTGTGTTTTACTATATACACTTACAGTGTCCTCTGATTTTCTTTTTTTTAATTATTACTTGTTATTTACAATTTATTGATTTAGTTATTATGGACGTCGTCTATTGAGTACACTGATGCAGCATCCAGATTTTGAAAGGACTGCACATCGACAATTAAGTGGACAATCGTTAAGAGCTTTAAAAGAGGCTATAGATCAAATTCATCAAAAGGCAGGTTTATGCAGTGCTTTTTGTTTTGTTTTTGTTTATTCATTGATTTGTTCTGCAATTGATTATGGGAACTGTTGCAAACGAAGGAGCAGTGGCTAGCTGTTATGTCGTTGTTAGTGATTCTTCAGCAGTTCGCACCCAGGACCTTCAGGCTACGAGGCTGGGTTCACTAACCTTTGACCCATGAATTCTAACTTCTTTTTCAATTCGTAACTCAGAGCTGGTGTACACTGTTGAAAAGACCCAAGCTGGGGCGAAATAGCTTTCTTCTGCTCCTTGGTTTTCAATAATCCTCTAATTGATGTTAGCTGGTCATGAAATCGACAATGGAACCTGTGCATAAGGTGAATTTCCTACCGTTTTCCCCCACCCCAACAAATATATTGGCTATATGTTATGTTTGAGAATATGTGAAGGAATGAAATCATTCCATCAAGCTATAATTATTCACCTATTTTACGATTTTGGCCATTCAACGAAAAAGTAAAAAAGCTAAAGTTATTTCTGTGACTTTTTTTTGAATCAACAAGTATAGTACTTATGAGTAATATTGGTATACTACGGATTGTATGAAACAATCCGATAGACGCTAGTGACTCCATTCAGGACGATATTGCCCGAAGTTCGAATGAAAACTGGTGAACAGTGAGGTCCACTAGGTCGAAAGTGAGGGCAGATACTCACCGATGACATTGTCTGGTGGTCGCACTACAATTACGAATTGGTAGAAGTTAGAATTCATGGGCCATATGACCGGGTTCAAGCGATTGAGAATGGTCTACGAGATTATCGGCTGTTAACTGGAAGGACCTCGGTTTGAACCCGTTGGTGAGTGCGTACTGCCGATGAATCTCAAGCCAAGATGAAACAGCTGTTCAATACTCCAGTGCTGGTTTTCAATGGTTTTCTAACTGATATCTATCCCTGGTCAACCTTGAAACAAATCAAATCCCTACAAACTAACTCCTGGAAATCAGGTACATATGAAATCAATGTGAAACAGCAAATGTAATTAGAACTTAATTATAATAATAGTAAGAAGAAGAAGAAGAAAATTAGAGACACTGAAGTATGTTTAATGTACAGTTGATTGATTTGAGACATTATCAAGTGTCCCTGGGTAATTGAACACATCATGACCATAGTAACGCAATAGGATTTAACAGACTGGTTTTATACATGAATGTTTGGCGTCATAATGTAAATTTTTGAGACATCTATACATAAATATTTGCTATATTTTTGTCTGGGTCTTTTACATAATAACAAATGCGGACTGTATGACAGTAAATGAATGTACTGTGAAACGCCTACATCGTACAGTGCAAATACTGTTATCTATCTGTACTAGTGTTTTTATTGATTGATCTATTCTGGGAAGTCTGTGTTTCAACACAGGAAATGGTTTAATTATAATTTATATATTAGGGTGGTTTGGCATATCCGGAATCCAAATATGGGGTTGCCAGCCGTTCTTACTTACCTCAAAAATCAATGAGGTTATTCTAATTCTCAATGCTCTCATTATATGTCAACACCATGCATATACATTTTCATCTATGGTTCAGTTGAAGTATGCCTGCCGTTCACTCGCACGGCCTGGTGTTCGGCCCCCGACTAACTCACTCCTTTTTACAGGGTGGGGTTGCTAACCTCTCGCCCAACCTCTGTCTCTTTTCCAGGCTTTCTACCGGCCAGGGGGCGGGGGGGTTAAGAGTGCCTCGGGCGGGAATCGAAACCTAGACTAGAAATTGTGAAGACAAACAAGAGCAACTAATCACGTACACAAGGTCATTAGGAGAGATAACTCGTGGTAAAATTTAAAAGCTCAAATTCATCCACCTAAGCTACAAATCTTCTTCATTATTCGATTTATTTATTCACCCGTAAGAGATGACTTTCTGACATATGCCATATGATCTGTCTATTGATACATTTTAAAAAAAGCACCGACAAATCTGGTGTTTAAGATTATAGAAGAGATAAGAACTACCATCTATGCTATATACCTGAAAATTGTGTTGTAAATTTCAACAGTGTTCAGTAACGTCTAGATTCTTGTATTTTTATTACCTACTGGTAACGATTACACACTGGCATGTTATGAAGTTTTAAAACTGTCTAGTATTTGTCAGGCTCATGTAACAATTCGTAGGCTTTATTGAGTGAAATTCAAAGAACCATGTAATCAGGTTGTGTGTATAGCTTTAAGCCAATGGCTTCATTACATTTTCATATTCTATGGGTGGAACATAGGGCCTCGGAGTTACATCTTCATATTACTCAGTTCTCTTCCATCTATTTCCGAATAGCCCCATTACTGTTCACAAGCTCTCTCTCACTTCATATTCACGTCACACTTGGACATCTAACTCGTCGCTTTCCATTCGGACTCCACTCGACGACCCGCCTAGTATGTGATATCATGTGATGTATGTCTAATTCATCTGCATTCTATGATTAGTGTGTCACGATTCGTAAATGAACCCACTTACCCCCATTTTATATCTCTTGTATTTACGCAATATTATTATCCACTTATCTTCCTTGCTGCTGGCATAGCCTAACACATTTTGATTCATCGTTATTGTTCAAAATGTTGAGATAATTATTATTATTTCCTTTAATTTCTAGAGGAACGCAGGGCTTCAACCTCACGTCTCCATTGCGTTCGTTTCTCTGTTAAATTTTTCACCCAACTCCAACTCTGCCCACATGCTTTCATCTCCTCTTCACATGACCTCCTCCAAGTCACCCTCACACTGACGACCAACTCGCCGCTTCCCTTTTGGGTTCCACTCGAGCAATGGCTTGTCTAGTGATGTCACTTGATGGTTTCCTCAGAGTATGGCCAATCAATCCACCTCCATTTCTTTCTGCCTATTTGTTGCACAGTCGGTTCCTGATGTGTTGGTTCGCTCATTGCCAGAGATCCTTCCCTGTAGCTGATGTTTTCTGGCCAACCATCTGATCTTGATAAGGGTATTGAGCAAACACTGTTAGCAGTTGATGAAGGTCTGTAGTTTGTTTGAGGTGCTCTTTATGACGCGCTGGCCAAGTCTCTGATCCATATGGTACCACTGACTGACTCCTTATTGGAGTTGAAAATCCGGATGTAATTTTTTATGTTGAGTGCTGTTGACCTCCACAGAGACTTGAGAGTAATGGAAGCTTGTCTTGCTTTTCCGATCCTCGCTGCTTTGATATCCTCGTCAGTTCCGCATGTAGTCGAAACGATGCTTCCCATGTTGGTGGGTAAAGGAGGTTGTTTTTTCAGGTTCCTCCCATTTATGCTGTCTGATTGTTGTCTGTTGTTGTTGCTATTGGTCAGGAATCTTCATCACCTCTGTTTTCTCTATGTTCACCTGAAGGAAGTCCTATCTTTGATGCTTCTTCTGCGAGCTTGTTGCTTTTCACTTGCATATCTTCCAATTTGTGGGAAATCGGACATACCGAATTCCGAAGTCGTTATCACGCACAGTTCGCTTACGTTTCCTACACATAGCTGAAACTGTTGCAATAAGATCGACTGAACCGGAACTTTGTATCCAAAATGAACACGTCCAGACGCTGTTCCTACCGTGGCCAACCTTGGATTGAAGATTTATCTTCTCACCAAGAGTGCTCCTTCCCCTTAACCCTCTTAGTTTTTTTTTACTTTGCTTATTATTATACATACTATTATTACAGTTATTATTATTATTCGTCATAATTTATGCCCTTCATGCAAACATTCCCTCAATACTATCGAATTCTTCATTAATACTATCCGGACTTATTATTAGTGATATTATCTCTTTTCTCAATATATGCCTCCATCTGTTTCATTTCACATATTCGTTATTTCATTATGAACCTCTCATTTCAGTCTTACTATCTCCTGTTTAACACAGACCACTTTGTACTAGCCTCTCACTCACCTGACACCTTTTATAACCTTGAACTGATTTGTCAATTCTCCTACCCCACACTCTACAAATCTATTATGATTAATCACCACCATTGTCTCCTGTTTTACAATATTTTGGTAATCGATTTCAGCCTAGCACGTTTGTCACACAAATACGACTATTTATTTTGACACGCCATAACTACTGATCTGTTATTCTACGTTAAAAATGTATCCACCTCATAACTGGCCTTTATTGTAACGACCACAAATATTATATTTTATAATTGTAAGAACCTGAAGAGAAATTATTGAAAAGAATATTCTTCGTTCAGATTGACTTTTAATTCATAATATGGGAATATTTCACACTATCAAATCGGACATATATCATCGACGAAGTCCAGATCCTCCAAGTTTTTTGTGATAATAATGAGATAGTATTGGCTCTTATATCAGTGCATAGTAATACCATGGTTGCTACCGCTGTCTTTAAGTGAACAATATAAAGAAAGTTGTGAAAGTAATAACTCATAACTTGACAGTATTTGTATTTTCTCTATTAAAAACCTGCCTGATGCGTTAGTCAATTTGATATTTACAAGTTTCTTTTAATTAGAGGGTATTTTCAATGTTTTCAACTTCTTTTATCTTATCGCACTAATCTTAAAACTTATTTATTTAATAAATATCAGAGTATCTTATAGTCACCTGTCTTGTTCTCAGCTTTAAAATATTACCCTATGCCTAATAATAATAGTAATAATAACAACTAGCCTTTATGCTATAGTAGTAGGTGTGGCTTCATTACCCCAATATAAACGAAGTTAGCTGGCTGTTAAATTAATACGATCATGTTATAAATATGAATTAACGTGGAATTTGTTTTGTTTGTAGGCGCACCCATTAGATATTTTAGCTCTATCATAGAGATGTATTGTTTTTTTCGCCCCAGTTTTTACCATTTTTTTTCTGTTTATAAAATAGTTATCATCATTAACAGGGTAAGCACAGTTATCTCAGAATAACCATCTCTCTCGTATATATATGAGTATCAAATGGGAGTTGCTGGTAGTTTTTTCTATAGAATACTTCAGCCAGTGATAGAACTCAACTAAATATTGAGAAAATGTGTTTGTATTGAATATCATATTATATCATAATTATATTTCCAAGTATTGATTTGCGGTGATTTGATTGATTCTATGTTTGACTGTGGACTGACTTCAGTCAGAGAACCATTGAAAACCACCAGGGGGAGCACTGGACAGCTGTGTCGTCATAGATAGGCGCTCTTCAGCAGTACGCACCCATGCTCCTACCCCAACATCGAACTGACGGACCTTCATATTACAAAGTGAGCTTGTTGACCATTTAACCACTAAGATGGAGTCCAGTAGCCGACCATTTCTAACCTGTGCTAATTCGGTATATATAGCGCGACTGCTAGACGATGTCATCGGTGACTATCAGTCCTCACGCCCAAATTGATGGACCCCAAAAGCCGTATAGAAGATTATTATTGGTTAATAGGGGGGATGTGACACAACTGATTCAATTACTTAGGATTGGTTTCTAAAGATACGAAGAAATTACTTAATTATTAGTGACACAATGGAAGTAAGGGGTTCTAAGTGTGATAAGGTGAATGTTGTTATTAGATACGAAGCAAGGTGATTCAGCATCCATTTGACAAGTGTGAAGAAGGTGAAAACATTACACAGGCATATTCAGTGATTACGTCATCCATGTCTGTCTATAAAGTATTTATTCTTTGGCATATAGGTTGTAGTATGACCACTTTTTCCTCATCAATAGGATTTCAGCATACAAGTGTTTCTATCAATTTGTTGTAATATTAAAGTCTTACGTCTCTCTTGAATACCTCTATGATGGTTGATGTATTCCTGTTAAATATTTGAACAAAGCAAAAACAACACTTGTACCAGGATAATATGAGCTCATCTTTTATTATTTAATCGAGGATTCTTCTCAACTGGTCACAACCTGAACGATAAAAAATGTATGAATTACATTAAAGATATGAACATACTTTTCCACGATCATAAGGAGTAATTGGTAGGAATTAAAAGTAACATTAGTCCGGAATGATTTAACTGATTAGGAGTTACAAACACTGACTATTTATAGAATAATTAGACAATTAGGCTTGGAAACAAAAAAAACAGCATTGCGTATATATATATGTGTGTGTATAGAAAGAAGGTTAGGCTAGAAAGAGCATAACAAAAAAGTAGATTACGTAACTAAAGAAAGCATCTTATCTAATAGGCAATAAAAAATGAAAGACAAGAAACAAAAAGAAATATACAACTTTCATGAGTCACCTTTTTCGTGTTTAGAAAACTCTACTCTCTCATCTAAGCATGACTCATCCTACCTTGTTTCTTTTCTTTCCTTTTTTCTATTGACTATTAGATAAGATGCTTTCTTTAGTTACGTAATCTACCTTTTTTGTTATGCTCTTTCTAGCTAAACCTTGTTCGTACATATATATATATATATACACAACCCTGTTTTTGTTTCCAAGCCTAACTGTCCGATTATTCTATAAATAGTCAGTGTTTGTAACTCCTAATCAGTTAAATCATTCCGGACTAATGTTACTTTTAATTCCTACCAATTACTCCTTATGATCGTGGAAAAGTATGTTCATATCTTTAATGTAATTCATACATTTTTTATCGTTCACGTTGTAACCAGTTGAGAAGAATCCTCGATTAAATAATAAAAGATGAGCTCATATTATCCTGGTACAAGTGTTGTTCTTGCTTTGTTCAAGTTTATTAATGGGAAGAATTGCATGAAGTTGTTAAATCTTCTTGGTAACTTTTCCTGCTTAACTAACCAGTTTTGTTTTGACTACTTTTTTTTTTTAATTTTAGGGTGTTGGTGATCTACCACCGTCTGCATCATCTTCAGCTGGTGTTCGTCGTAGAGGTTTTTCACCAGCGACTAGATCACGTGGACCTAGTGCTGGAGGGAATATTTCCAAAGTATGAGATGTGCGTGTGCTTTACAAACTGTGTTTGTTTGTTTTTTATACACAGTTCAATGTTCGAAAGGGAAGAAACAGGCCGCTAGTGTTGCAGAAATATTTCCACTAAATCTCTTTATCACTGTGTGTTACTTCTTCTTCTGTTTTTTTAAAAAAAACAGACATGTGTTTCGTTTTTGCTTTTTGTTTCTTTCTGTGAAAGGGGGAGATATCTCTTCCATCCACTTGTTTGTCTACTGTGTACCTCTCTCCATTCAAATCTTCTATGGTGCTGTTTTATAGTTGTATATTATTATTTCGATATCTTTCAAAGATGAATGATTACTTGTTCAATTTCAAAACTAGTATTGTATTTGTCTCTGTAGTAGTGAAATAAATAAATAAGACAAATGTGGAATAGTTACGACCAGCTAGCAAAACTAGCAAAAATGAGAAAGATGGTGATGCGCTTATTTCTGTGATTCTTTTTGCGTAGTGTGAAATCTGTATTTTTATAACACTATTTCTGGTACCTGTACCGTATACATATCTTCAAAGATTATTACTATTAATATTATTATTACTATTATTATTATTATTATTATGACTCTTGTTGTGACTGACTAATGATTGGTACTTGATTGTAGAAGGTGATGGTTTTTCTTAGCGCGCACAATAATAATGACTGTAATAATGAAGATAATAATAATACATTGATAAAACTTATTACTACTATTATTATTATTATTCTTAATTAATTTTTTCTTATTTTAATATTTAATCAAAGAATTTCAATATTTTAATTACTTGTATGTACTACTATTAATATTATTAATTAATAACCAGTAGAGAATAGAAAGAAGTTGAATTATAATGATAATAATAATAATAATATTTTACTAGCGATATGTATTTTGCGATCAGTTGCTCATAGTGTATTTTACGTAGATGTGTATGGTTTTTGTGAATTAGTTAATTAGTTGGTAAGTAGAGTGACGCACAAAATAAATAAATAAATAAATAGATATATATTTTCTCTACCCTTTGCTTCCCTTCTTCGCCTCTTTCTTTTTTGTCATATTTTCAGATTAAGCATAGTTTTCTGTGTGTGTGTGTGTGTGTGTGTGTGTGGTATGGTTAAGGTAACGGCGCCGATTCCTTTCATCGTTCACTTAATTCTCTTTCTTCTCCTTCGCCTAACCTCATTCCTGTGTCTCCTTGTTCTTCTTCTTCTTCTTCTTCATTACCTGTTACGTAACCAAACCACCAACTGTGTTATCCATTAAAGGAAATGCCTTTGTTGAAAAAAAAGATAAAAGATAAAATTGCTCATTACTCTCTCTCTCTCTAACTCTCTAGCTATTGTTTTTTTGTTGTTGTTGGTATCTTTGTGTACTTTATGGGCGAGGGGGGTCCTGTTTTCTTTTTTTGCTCACCTTGTCATTATTTTATTTTATTTACTCTCGACTACACTCACACTCTTATCGTTATCTCACCTACCTACCTACCTACCCACCTACCTACTTACTGTAATATTTTTTTTTTCTTTTGAGTATGTGAATAATAAAGAGGAAAGAGAAATAAATAAATAAATAAAAGAAAACGCTTACTTATTTTTCGTTTGTTTTCTTTTGTTTTGTTTTGCTAAGCATGTTTGATGTGATGCCTATAAAAGACTCCATATGTGCCTCCTTCGTCTACATATATATTTATATATATAAAATCAAATCAGAGAAACAAGATTACATATCTAAACATCAGTATACAACATATCAACAGTGATAATAATGTGCTTATGTGTTGTAGTGAAGGGAGCAAATCTAATTCTCCCTCCTTACTTCCACCCTCGCCCACCCCACCTTTTGTTCTTTTGCTTTTGCGTACTCTTACTGTGTTTGTTAACCACCAATTGTATGATGCCTCATAAAATATTCAACATTTTGCACACACACACACTACTGATATAGTATATGTTTGTATGTATATTGTGTTTTGAGGTATATTGAACACATTGAATGGTTATTGTTTCTTTAAATGTACTAATGAACAGTAATAATGGTAGTAGTAATAGTAATAACAATGGCTGTCAGTTTCTTTCCTTTTGGTTTGTTTTTCCGTCTCTATCTTTTTATCTTTATTTTTCTGTTGTTACTCTTCTCATTGTTTTAATTTCTAATTTTCTGTGAACAATAAATAAAGACAGTAAATGCGATACAATTGATGAAGTACACATCTTGACTGAAATGAATAACACTCATTAATATATATATATATACTACATAGTGATATTGAATATATTACATCTTATCTATCTATACATTATGCATAAATATATATATACATATATATCAAGAATATATTTGTTGGAATTACATTGCATGCACTGTTGTCTTTTGATTTCTTGAGTTGCTTGAACTTTTGCTCGCTTATGGAATGATGATTTGTGTTTTGACAGTAGCTTTCCTATTGTTCCTACACATAGATCTATGTTTACATTCATAAGACGATTGTTTTATTTTGTGTATATTATTAATGAAGTGTACCCATTCTCCTCTCCTTTAGTACATACATAAATATGTGTATATGTGAATATATATATATATATATATATATATATATATATATATATATATATATATATATGGAGAGAATAAAGGATGCACTGGATACAGAACTCTGACCAGAACAAGCTGACTGGATTCAGGAAAGTCAGGCAAATCATGTTCTGATCAAATTGCAACTCTACGCATCATCATCATCGAACAAAGCATGGGATGGCAATCAACTACCTCTATCTCGACTTTATAGACTTTGAGAAGGCCTTTGACAGTTAGCGTTGACCACGAAGTAATTTGGAAATTACTCGAGTACTACGGCGTACAGCGCCCAAATATTCATCAACCTTATTCAACAGCTGTACGACAACGGCACATGTCAAGTCATCCACAACGGAAAACTCAGTGAGGCGTTTGGAGTAAACACAGGAGTCAGACAAGGGTGCCTGCCTATTATCACCAATGATATTCCTAATTGTGGTGGACTGACTGGATTATGCGTCAGACAGTGAGTGGGAAACGAGAAACGGGACAGGGATATCCTGGACCTACGTGAAGAACCTAGAAGACCTGGATTTCGCGCGTGGATGATTTTTGTTTGATGTCACACACAAAATTGAAAACTTACAAGCGAAAACCGACAAACTGGTCGAAGAAGCAGCCAGCGAAGACAGGACTCCAGGTGTATATAGACAAGACGGAGGTTATGAAAATAACCAACCAACAAACAACAGCAGCAACATCCAGCGCCAATCACCATCAACGGGAGGGATTTGAAAGAGGTTACTTCATTCTACTACTTATCTAGAGAGCATTGTCTCAACTACAGCCAGTCGGAACGGACGAGGATATCAAATCGAGAATCGGGAAGGCAGGTGAGAAACACATTCATCAACCTGAAACCAATCTGGAAATCTTCGTCACTCAGCTAGCATCAACAACAAAATTCAGTCGGATTTTCAATACGAACGTCAAGTCAGTCAGTTCTTCTATACGGAACGGATCAGAAACTTGGCGGGCGGGTCACAAAGCATATTTCCGACCGCCAGTTGCAGACCTTTATCTGTCAGCATAAGTGGTTATACAATACACGGTCAGATTATATAAGTGTATCACTTTCAGAAGAATGCCATCTGGATTACATAATATAATGAATAATTACTTTGCAGGCTTAATTGCAGTTTCGTTCTTAATATAGAGAGTTTTTAGTATCGACCATGTAATCATTTTGGTCTAAGCTGAAAGCCATGTGTTTTATTTAATGTCCTTATGTATGCATTTGTGTTTCACTTGGTGGGATGATAGTTCATTACTCTGTTTTGGGTTTCAAATAACGTAAAATGAAGTAACACAGCAATTTAAAAAGTATATTGTTACAGAAAGATATTAGCAACGTTTTAGTATATCATTATTTTAACAGATATTAAGTGAAGCCTACTTTAGAGAATGTTTTACATCAGTTGAAGTCATTTGATAGACTACCGCATAAGTAATTCGAAGACTTCAGCCATCATCTAATACCTCAGTAACAGTCTATAAACCCAACTGTCTCACATATGGATGAATAAATTAATTTGATTATGAGCAATGAAGTGTGCTCGAAACGTCATCCAGTTATTAACTCTGTATCATTGTGTGATATATCAAATATACGCATTTTTATTTCACACAACCAGTTTCCTTTTATTAGTTTGAATAAAGAAAGAACAAACATGTTTGCTGGATAATACCAGCTCGTTTTATTGCATGGATTCTCTGCCTATATCTTAAATCAATCAATTAATGTTTGTTCTTCCTTTATTCAAACGTATCCTAAAATTATATGGTTCTATGTAAAAAGGTATATTACTCAATCGACTAAGTCAGTCAATTACGGTGAACTACGTAAATTTTATCTCACATGATTGTCAGGCATGGTTTACACAAATTTGTCTTTTACGCTAACTAATTACTGATGATTTTTTAAGTAGTATGAACCGTTCCTCTAGGTTATTCCTAGTAAAGCATAAAATTTCATTGCGTTTATTTCGAGAAGTACTTTTATCTCATTCACTTGTTGGTGTTGTTGTGTTTTGATTAGATGTTAACTTTCCTTTGAGTAAATTAATAAGAGTATTTCATGGGTGTTGTACGTATTTAAATTTCAGATAAGTTGTTACTGCATATCTGTCTGTTGGCTCTTTTGTTGTCGTTAAACTAGTAAGTCTGTCTGTTGTTCTGTGATGTTCTTTTATCCCACAAAGTCCGGTGAGATAAGGTATGAGTCTCCATTATTCACCTCTCATCGTAGCTAAGATACTTACCTCTAAACCGAATTAGTAATGTCTTATATTTTATCTACAAAAGACTTTAGAGATGATAGTTGGGAATTCGTGGCTAGTATAAATAAGAAACTAACCAGGATATTAAGGTCACATGTGACCCATATAGTTGATTACAGTTTGTATATAAGGAGGAATATTTTCAAGAT